CATAAGACATACCAGGGGTGATATGACAGACTAGTATCAGAAGGTCTCACAGAGGTCACAGCATCTACAGCAGGCTTCAAGGGAGGGATAGGGGTTACCTGGAAAGTCCTTTACTGTCTTGTCAGAGAAAAACACGTCTTTATTCATTCAATATTCAACAAATACTGAGCGACAGCCACAAGTCCGTAACAATACAATCAGGTATTTACAACCACAACCACCTAAGAGCTGGTTTTCGAGTAGACCCCAATAAACATCTGACTGATTCAATCAGACACCTCAGCCTAAACTACTTGGAAGTGTTTCCAGGTGAGAATAATGATATGCAGACTAACTCTCCATCACGCCCCCAACACGGAAGAGCACCCATCAGGGGCTGCAGTGCACAGACCTCCTCGTGGTTCATACACATACAGTCACACAAAGCAAAGGGCGCTCAAGGTCCACCATGAAAAACCAAGCCGCCTTTGTCCACTCTGAGCCCCAACCTACTGGCTCCCCTTCCTCTAGGTTGCTGCTCCCTACCCACTGTGCAGCTTTCTGGATATCATGTACATTGATTAGCCTCAAGGCAGAACGCCTGCGGGAGGAAAAAAGGCATTTGTACAGGTATTCACTCCAGTGCGCCTTCAATTTGTCACACGTAAAGTTCATCACCAAACGTGATGTTGCTTATGATAAACTCCGCCCGGAAAACTTTAATGAAAACCTTCCAGTGTATGGACTGGCTTTCAAGTTCAACCTAGAAACAGGGTTCATGGTACTCCCACGTTCAACCCCATGCTGCACCTTGCGTGACAATCGATGAATCGACGACAAACGGTCATCTGCGCGACTCCGGACACGTGGCCTCAGGGGACCGGACTGTTCACCGGCCTCCGGGGTCGGGCCTTATCCCCCTTCCCCCTCCCATGCGGCACAACAAAGCGGGGCGCTCGCCCCCCAGCAGGCGGGGCCGAAGCCACCTTGGGCGGCTCGCGGCGCCCCGCTTCTCCCCACCCCCAGGGAGCAGCGGCGCACCGAGGCAGGGGAGGGAGGAGGCGCGCGACGCCGTCCCCTGGGCCGGAGGACGCGTGTGGGGTCCGCAGGCCGACGGGAGCGGAGCCGGGGCCCAGCGCCCGGGGACCCGCGCCCCTGCCGGCGCCGCGCCCGGCCCGCCCGGCTGGCGACCGGACGCTCGGCGGGACACGCCGCCCACGCCTGACAGCGGCCCGGGGCCACCGCGCCCCCCGCCCCGCGTAACGGGCCACCCCCGCCCGCCCGGCGCGCTCACCTCGCGCGCGATCTGGTTCAGCGCGTCGTCCTCTGCCGTCAGCCGCTCCCGGTTGGGGAGCCGCTTGCGCCCCGAGCCCTGGGTGCCCATGTCCATCGGCCGCGTCCCCTGCA